TAACCAATGGAATGTCTTGTCTGAAGAAATCGTGGGCTCTCCATCACTGGAGGTTTTCAAGAAGTTGTCGGTGTGTCATCACTGGAGGTTTTTAAGAAGAGACTGAACAGCTATCTGTCTGAAATGGTATAGGCTGGGTCTCCCTCTTGAGCAGGGGGCTGGACTAGGAGACCTCCAAGGTCCCTGTCATGCCCCTGTCAGAATCTGACTCAGAGGAGAAAGCTGAACAGCTGACAGGGGGGCTGGAGTGTGGCTCCATTGGCTGTGGAAGAAACTGGGGAAGGGCAAAGTCCGGCTGGGCAGAGCAGAGGAGAGGGAGAACAAGGGAGAGGGGATTCAGAGGAAGACCCAGGCCCACCCCCTCTTCATCCTAGGGCATGCAGGGAGGAATTGAAAAGGGAGCAACGTGGGTTGCGTGGCTTACAGGGGAGGAAAGGGCCCTGATTCCCTTCATTAGCTGCAGCTGGGAACACAGTGTATAAAAAAAGAAAAGCTGCATGCAGTAAGCTGTTGGGAGCAAGTGTGATTTTATCTTGTATCACTGTGGCTTATCTGTGTCCCTGGCATCTTCCCAACGGTGTGAGTTTTGCTGTGCTTTTGCCAAACTAATTACTTCAGTTTGGTTTGTTTGAATTTGGAGTTACAGTTTGTGTGTATCTTGTTTTGGACTGAATTTTCTCAGTCAAAGGCTGTTCCTGGAAGAGTTTTTCTCCAGCCCAACGGTAACCTGGACATTGGGGGCAAAGTTGGAGATAATAAAGGGACTCTTATGGCTGATCTGACTGTGTTGTCTTTGTTCCTGGGTCATCACAATCCCTTCCAAATCTATTCTGATTCTGACCTCTGGGATAGCAGAAGGAGAGGATAGGGTATCCTCTTTAGCAGGGGGCTGGACTAGAAGACCTCCAAGTTCCCTTCCAGCTCTATTCTGATTCTGACCTCTGGGGATAGCAGAAGGAGAGGATATATGGTCTTTGGTCATCCCGTTCCTATTCCTGAAATAAAGTTATCGTTTTAGAAAAGTATCTCTGAGTCTGATTCCAGGCCCATACTCAACCCACTCTTGATTTATAAGGGAAGATTTATCAGAGATATGTAGCAAAATAGAATGTTCTCTTTATTCTTGAAGGAACTCTTGAGGAAAACGAATGGTAAAAAGGAAGCACCATGGCTAGGGTTTTGATTTGAAGATCCCAGATAAACTCGTAAATCTATCTTGCTAACCTGCTTCCCACATCGGCTCCATTCACTTCCTTCCTAAGATATACAATGCACCTCCAAATTCAATGCGCTTGTATCTGAATGCTGCTCTATTCAACCAAGGCCATTCCCTATTGTATAATACAAGCAAGGAAGCATGACTAACCACTGTGTTTGAGGGAATCTATAACGAAGGCCCAGTAACCCCCCTCCCAAAAAAATCAGGGTGTCGCCCTGGGTCACACACCCTTCCCGTCACTTCCGATCAGTGGTGGGGTTCAAATTTTTTTTACTACCAGTTCTATGGGCGTGGCTTGGTGGGTATGGCTTTTTTTTTTTTTGCTTTTTTTGCTGCCCCCCACCCATTTTGGGGAGCTTCCTAGCCTCAGAGGAGCCTCTGGGGAGGGGTGTTTTTGCTCCCCCAAGGCTCATTTGGGGCTCTGGAAGATAAAAAATAGAAGCGGGGGCCTGAGCTCCTCTCTCCATGTTTTTGCCTTCCTGGGCCTCAGCAAGGAGAATCCCACCACAGCTGTTCTATGCACAGCTGATTGTCGGGAGGGGGAAAAAAAGAAATACCTTAGGTGAATGTCAAACGGGCAGGTAAGCGAGCATCAGGAGGGAGGGCAACCAGATCGGGAGCGTGGCCAGCCAGAATTTACTACCGGTTCGCCAACCCACACCAAATTCTTGCTACCGGTTCATCCGATCCGGTGCGAACCGGCTGACTATCACCACTGCTTCACATCAGTGGTAGGTTTCAAAAAAAAATTCCTATCAGTTCGAAGAGCTCACATCGCTACCAGTACACCAGAACCAGCCCGAACTGGTTGAACACCACCTCTGCTTCCGAGGTAAGGATCAAAACAAAAACCATCTTTAATTCCCAGTTTGATTTCCATATTTTGAGGAAAAATATGCAGTGTTTCAATTAGGGGTCCAGGAGTCTTCAACTCCTTCAGACCCTTCCTGCGTGTCTGCGTGCTTGTGTGTGTGTTTTTCTTCTTTCAAAATGGGGTAAACGTCTCTCTGATTATGCTGGGTGAGAATATTATGAATATTTATGGCCGAGAATTTATAATTGAGTGCTCTGTCTTTTCCTTCTGATTAATTCAAGGACACTTCAATTCCTTGCCAAGGATGCCAGGTTGCTGGAGCAGAGGCACAAACCTCCTGGACACCTAATTGAAACCCTGCATATTTTTTTTTCATCAGGAAGACTTCAAATATTCTGGGAAGGGGGCCCTCCCCATCTTCTCACCCTGGGTTTTCTGGAGATTGAAGAGATGGGGAATTATTGATGGTGGGTTTCCTTCCTTCAATTTTTTACAAAGGAAACAATGGCCGACTCCACAGAGCCTACAACAACACAGCATCTAACTAAGGAGCTTAGTTTTAATTAAAAAGGCGTTAGGAAAACCCGTCTCACCATCACCCAGCTTCAGAGAGAATGGCGGAGAGTCTGTTTCCCCAGCCTGCCTTAAAATATTTTTTAGCAAAGGCTGAGGAATATTCTCTTGGGGGTGGGCTGGAAGCCCCACCAAAGCACGTCTCCAGGTGGCGGATTTGGGGGCCCTACCCAGTATGGCTTTTATGCTGTTATGGGGATTGGAGGGAATCAAATAATAACCTCCCATAGACCAACGGACCTGGTGAGCGACAGCTGGCTCATCAGTATCGACAGAAGGCAGAAACCACATTGGTCAGAATGGCTTCAGAAGAACAGCACATGGTGTTTCCTTCTATTTATTCCCCCAGCCAGGAAGGGGCCATTCAGCATCCATGTGTGCTTTGCTTCCAAAGTTGATTCCTTGACCTCCATTGTCCGCCTCTTCTAACAGCTCTGTGCATACGTGTATCTGGAACGGGCACCAGCTGCTCCTCCTCCCCAATGATACCAGTCTCTGAAAGCAGCTGCCTCTCTGGTGGCTGGGAAATGTCGGACAGCCCTGGCTCTATCTCTGCATCCGACACAGAGCATCCATCAGAGCCTTCCCTAGACTTCAGACCTGGCCCAAGATCCTCCCCAACCTCCTCATGGTCTGATTCTGCCTCCAGGTCCGCTGGCAGCTGGCGGGCCACAACAGACTACTAATTAATTAAATGCCTTTTTGAGATTTTGAAAAACAACCCAAAAGATTGGATGACAATGGAACAAGTCAAAGCGTGTTTTCAATCTTTCACAGAAAAGGTTAACAGCATTGTATTGTTCTAGAAATTGATGGTTAATGTGACTTTTCAAAGATCTCTCCAGATGTTGTTGGGTGGCAACCACCAACATTCTCCATTATTGACCGAGCTGGCTGAGACTATTCAATGTTGACACCCTCCCTCACTTGTGCTGTAGCCTTGGGAAACGTACACCATTCAAGGGAAAACTAAGAACTTGGTAAGTTCTACTTAAGATACCTGTGGTATCTTAGAAAGAGAAGAGTGATGGATAATTGAAAAGGCTTAAGTGCTTCTCTCTGACATCCTTCATAAATAACACAGATAATGCAGCCAGATTGAGGTCAGGACTTCTGGGTGCGGGGGATCCTTTCCAAAGTGTTTTCAACCCTTTTGTAGTTCCTCCAACTGCTACAGTAGAGGAAAATAGTGTGACATGAGCTGGCTTCATCTTCCCCATGTCTTTCCTATGGAAGAAGCTCAGCGGTGAACAAATGAAGACACACAGCTAATGGTCACTGTTGCAATGTCCGGATCTTTTCTAGAAAATGCATTCTAAAGTGGCAATCCTTGGGTTCTTTGAATCTATCATCTATCTATCTATCTATCTATCTATCTATCTATCTATCTATCTATCCATCCTTTCACCTATCCCCCCATCCACTCATCCACCTATCCAATTATCCATCTCTCTGACGGTTATCTGTCTGTCTGTCTGTCTTTGCAACGATCCACCTATCCACCATCCACCCAACCAACTATCCACCTATCCATCTACATCTATCTATCTATCTATCTATCTATCTATCTATCTATCTATCTATCTATCTATCATCTATCATCTATCCATATCCATCCATCCATCCATCTTTACCTGTCTACTTGTCAATCTATCTATCCATCTATCCATATCCATCTATCTCTATCAGTTTCTGTCTAGCTAGCTAGCTATCATCTAGCTAGCTATCATCTAGCTACCCATCTATCCATCTATCTCTATCTGGTTGTCTATCTGTCTGTCTGTCTATCTGTCTGTCTGTCTGTCTGTCTATTTATCTTCTATCTATCTTATCTATGTATCCAATCCTCTATCTCTGAATCTATCCATCCATCTCTACCTCTATCTCTCTATACAGCTATACATCTCTCTCTCTCTCTCTCTCTGTGTGTGTGTATGTGTGTATATATATATATATATATATATATATATACAATCCTCCATCCTTCATTATCTATCTATCTATCTATCTATCTATCTATCTATCTATCTATCTATCTATTTATCTCTATTAAACTTTTATGCCACCCATTTCCCTCAGGAGGTGACTCTGGGCAGCTTCCAAATTTGGCTTTCCTTGACGTTGTCTTGACTCACATGCAAAATTCACCACACACTCATTGTGAGACTATGCAAATTAGCCATGTTCCCCCCCCAACCCCCAATAGCACAAGAAATGAAGAGACCACGTTCCTTCTCCGATTTCCTCCATAAGAAATTCCTCCAACAACCAGGAAGCTACCTGTGAAATGAGACCTTGACCTCCTGCTAAGGTCTACTTAAACATCAAGGACTTTCTTTCAATCTGCTATCCTTCAGGTCGGTCTCCTAATGATAAAAGGCTAAAACCACTTACTTTTGAAAGTTCACTGTCAAATTTTGCGGAAAGCTGCTTAGCCAGAATTTCAAGGTTTTCCACTTTCTGTACAGGAAATGTTGTATCGGGCAGGTAAACTGAGCACTGGCACATTCCATGATCATCCACAACGCCGGTCACATTGGTAAATGGCTGGGGGGAGGGAAAGATTTAAAAGAGAGAAATTTCAGTAATCTACCTAGTCAGGGGTGTTTCTCTTTGTTGATGTTCACCCTGGGAAAACACAACCATGAATCCTAGAAACTTATTGAGACATAAATAAACACTGTTCACAAAATAAAATAAAAAAAAAAGAACACCCAACTTGGCTAGAATAATTAGAGCCGCGGCTCGAAGAGTGCATTGGGGAATAACTCAATAAAAATTACAAAGCAAAACAGTCCTTTCCCACGAATAATGCTTTTCAAATGATCTCTTTCCCAAACCGAAAGATTATATTGGAATCTACAGTAATTCGTTTACTAGTTTTTTAATGTTGTTTTTATTTATTTATTTGTTTTATTAAAAGAAGAAAAAAAAGGCTGTTCCTCCAGACTGGAGAATCTTGAGTTTTAATTGAAAGCAACTTGGTATCATATATCTACGTTGATTTAGTGCACCGTGGTCTCACTTAGCCAGTCAATAGCAAGCAGGCAGAAAAGAACGGAGGGGACTTTAATCCATTACAATTGATGGAGGGAGAGCATCTAGCTGAACTCAGCTGCCACTTGGGGGCCTAAGATCCTGATCGTTCTTCCTATACAGTTGATTCCGCTGCTTCCCTGCAGATCTATTGCTTCTGCTCAGCTCAGCAGTTTTTCGGTCTGCCAAGAAAAACACCCCTTTAAAGTTTGCATCGAAATAGCTTCATGAGTGGGTCTAAATGGCCACATGTTTCCTTGGTCTGGATACCTGTAATTTCTCATTCGACGGTTGTGCCTAAAGCCATCAACGTTGAACAGAGCTGGAAGGGAGTTTGGAGGTCTTCTAGTCCAGTGGTTGCCAACCAGTGAGCCAGGGATATGTGAGTAAATTTTGGTGGTACACAGAGAAATGTCACCCCCAAAGCGATTAATCCAGGCGGTGTGGGAACACAAGGCTGCACCACCCACATGGCCCACGGGAACACAAGCTAGTGTCGCTTGCTTTGTGAACAACATGAGGTAGTGAGAGGATGTGGGAAAGGGCAGAGGGGGGAACTTGCCCCAGTTACCCCACGTGCCTGGCCTGGCCACCAGGCTGCTTCTTTCTGCTTCTTTCTTCTGCTTTTGGCTGCACACAAGGAAAGCAGCAAAGGTCTGTCTTTCTCTCCCCCAAACTCTGCCAGAAATAAGTCTTTGGGATCTTCCTGCCCCAAGAGGCTGTGCCAGCAAAGACTCATTTCTGGCGGAGTTTGGGGGAGAGAAAGAAAGACTTCTGCTGCTTCTGCTGCTTTCCTTGCATGAAGCCAAAAGTCTCTCTCTCTCTCTCTCTCTCTCTCTCTCTCTCTCTCTCTCTCTCTCCCCCTAAGAACAGAGCTGGAGACAGTATCCTGTGATCCCAAATAAAGAATTATAGATCGGTAGAAAATGGGGTGGGGAATTTTCCTGAAGATTTTGGGGCGGATTTTCCACAGAGTCTCTGGTCCACAGGATTTAAAATTATGAGTTTGGTGGTCCCTGAGGTCCAAAAGGTTGGCGACCCCTGTTCCAATCCAACTCAGGCAGGAAAAACCCTATAGCAGGGGTGTCAAACTCAACATCTGTGGGCCAGATCCAACCTGTGGGGTACTTAGATCTGGCTCATGGGTCTGCCCTGGAAACTGTGGAGGACTGGCCCGTGATGCTTCCGCCAGTGAGAGCAGTCTCCCAAGCTCCATTTTCAGCTGCCACGGCCTCCTACAAACCTCTGCCAGTGAAAACAGAGCTCAGGAGGGCTGCGCACAGCATGAAGGCAACCTGAGAGCTCCGAGGGGGAAGAGAGAATAGAGCTGGCAGAGAGAGGTGGAGCCTGGGCTGTCTGTCAGCCCTCAGATGGGGAGTCAATAACCCCCAGGTCTGGAGGTGGCTGATGAGGAAGAGAAGGAACAGCTGGGCTCAGTGCCTGATGCGCAGAAGGCAGAGGAGAGGAGAGGAGAGGAGAGGAGAGGAGAGGAGAGGAGAGGAGAGGAGAGCAGTGGAAATCCATAGGCCAGTCCTTGGGATGGAAGAGCTGCTAGCAAAAGGTAATTTCTCATTAGCCTAAAGCCACCAATGTTTAATAGAATAATCAACTTCAAAGGGACCTTGGAGATCTTCTAGTCCAACCCCCCTGCTCAGCCAGAAAAGACCCTATAGCAGGGGTGTCAAACTCAACATCCAGAGGCTGGATCTGGCCCATGGGGTACTTAGAACTGGCCCATGGGGCCACCCTGGAAACAGTGGAGGACCGGCCTTCAAAGGACCACCAGCAAAAACAGGCTCCCAAGCTCCGTTTTCATCTGCCATGGCCTCCTACAACCCTTTGCCAGCAAAAATGGAGCGCAGGAGGAGCACATTCAGCCCTGCTGAGCTCCATTTTTGCTGGCAGAGTGGAGGCTGTAACAGCTGAAAACGGAGCTCGGGAACCCATTTTCACTGGCAGAACACTCAGACCACCACAAGTGCCCCCAACACGAGTGATGTTGAGTTGGCCATGCCCATCCTGACCACACCCACCCTGGCCCCTGAAGGTCAAACCCTGATGTGGCCCTCAATGAAACTGAGTTTGATACCCCTCCCCTACAGCATCCCAGAGTAATGGTTGTCCAATCTCTTCTTAGAAATGTCCAGTGTTGGAGCACCCACAAGTTCTGGAGGCAAGTTGTTCCACTGGTTGATTGTTCTCACTCTCACTTATATTTTCCTGGGTTTCCTTGTGGCTCTTTTCTAAACATGGATTATGATGTGTAAAACACTTCAAATTCAAAATATTTTGAGCTCTAAACTCCTACAATTGGGGTGGGATTCTATCTGTTCAGACCAGTTCTATAGAACAGGTTGCTACGTTTGGAGAACCGGCAAATCGCGCCAGTGACTCAGGCAGCAGATTGCAGAAAGGTAGATCTCTGAGTGATTCTTTGAGCAACTCAATCTGCCTGCCTGCTTTGCCTGATTTTGGGTAAAGGTTGCTCTTTTTTTATAAAAAAAATTCAATATTTACATCAATATTTACAATACTTACATACTAGTCATGCCCAGCCAGTCACATGACCACCAAGCCATGCCCAATCAGCAAGCCACACCCACCCAGTCATGTGACCACCAAGCCACACCCACAAATTAAGCCATGCCCACAGAACCAGTTGTTAAGAAAGTTGAATCCTACCCATGCCTAAAATGAACGGGATTTCTATTGGTCACCTAAATTTTTACTCCGTCCTATGCAGTACCTACTCGAGTTCTTTTTTTTCTTCAAAAAATAAGAGACAAGTGAAAAGGCCTCTTGGATGACAAGTCAAATGTTTTGAAAGGGAAAAAAAACCAAGAAAATCCAGTTGGAACAAACACTTTTGGGACAGCCATAATTTGGATGATGGAGAATCTCCATGAGCAAATAAAAATAGACCTTGTTAAATAAATATATATATGTATTTGTGGTGCACGAGATTGCAATCAAGGGATGACTTTGTTCTCTCTGATGGGTTCTGGAACTAACTAGTGAAAAGAGTTGATGGAGATTCTCAGACATCCAGCTCATGGTTGTCCCAAAGGTGCTTTTTTCCAAGAGAACT